TCCGGGTGCCATGACTCCGTTTCCGGATGCCACGACATTCCTGACATTCCAACAGTATGGGGCTTATATCGCGCTAACGTTTTAAAAACCCCGGTGGAGGTGTATGGTCACTGCTCGGTCGATTCTGACGGTAGACTGTGTATTATTACGATTTTATGACGGAAAAAATGTCAGTCATAACCGTACCATCGTTACGTATTGCTGAGACCCCACTTATGAGCTCCCACTCAGCCGCTAAAGGGAACCGAACGTGATGCAGCTGCGGGAACTCGCAGTTTAGCGCAGAGCTTGCCGCAACAACACCCATCCATTCCTTAGGTAAGGTGCTACTTACCTTAGGTACGCAATGGCGCACAGTAAGTCTTTACCAAATGCCGAGTAATTGGCATGTCAATCTGACCTCGCAGGCAAAAGAAACACCAGCCGACCTATCTTCACCTCGCACGAGCGGGCCATGGCCCGCGCGGCTTGGGGCTCATCGACGGCTCGCCTCTCCCGGGACTCGTTCCTGCCCTTCGCCTCGTGCTGGCTGTGCCTCGAACCCGCCATAGACCCCGTTGCCTGCATGCACGGCGATATTTTCTGCCGCGAGTGTGCCCTCAGTAATATTCTGGCCCAGAAGAAAGAAATCAAGCGCGCCGAGATGGCTCGCGAGCAGGAGGAGCGCGAAGCCCAGGAGGAGAAGGCACGCCGGGATGCCGAGGCCCAGGAACGTGCAATACGAGAATTTGAGCTTACCCAGGCCGGATTAAGTGTCAAGAGGGCGAGTACAAGTAGTGCGGGCAAAGAAAAGACGGAGCCGCCTGGGCGGCGGGAAAGCGAGAGTGAAAACGGAAAGAACGAGAGCAAAGGGTTGGAGAAGGGCGCCGTAGCTGGGATGAAACGCAAGTTTTCGCTTGATCCCGACGAAGTCGCCCGCATCGCCGAGGAGGAGCGGGCAAAGGCGAGGAGAGCAATCGACGAGGAAAAGGTGGGCGAGGTCTTAAGGGCGCCACGACCCCCAAGCTGACACATTACTAAATGCAGGCGTCAAAAGTGACACTCCCATCATTCTGGTCACCCACGGTTACGCCGTCTTCAAATAGCAACAACACATTGCATGGGGTGAAAAAGAAGGCTAAGACGCAGCTGACGTGCCCAGCGGCTCCGGAAGATAACCCGCACCACTATTCACTGCACACGCTAGTTACTGTAAACTTTACAGAAGAGACGGACTCAGACACAAAAACGCCCCGGCGGATTTGTCCAGCTTGCAACAAGGCTCTCTCAAATTCTTCCAGGGCGATGCTGGCGAAGCCTTGCGGGCATGTGCTCTGCAAGAACTGCGTGGATCTATTTATGAAGCAATCCAGCGGGGAACCGGTCCGCTGTTATGTCTGTGAAGCTGACGTTACAGAGAAAAGGGAGTCTTCAAGGAAAGAAGGCAGGGCAGAGAAGGAGAAGATCCGGCCCGGCTTGGTGGAGCTCCGGCGTGAAGGCACAGGATTTTCAGCGGGCGGTAACAATGAAGTCAAGAAGGACGCAGTGACGTTTACTGTTTAGATATGGGAACCATTCCAAGCACAGGCATTCATAGAACCTGAAGATGCATCCGCGCTTCAAAAAAGGGGAGAACTTTGGATACAGCAGCATGAAGCGGAGGAGGCAGGAAGGCTCTTTGCTGCCGTGAAACGGTGTGGTACTGCAAGGCAAGGTTAAACCCAAGCTACCTAACTCGGTACCTAAAGTGGACTGCCCGGTCAGGCCCGAGCCAGCACCGTTCCATCAAGGACCGGAGGTAGAAGTCCAAGTCGTAAGAATCGGATGTCAGCTCAGGCTCAGACCTAGATACCTGTACCTAAGGTAGGTACTAGAGTTACAAGGCGTAGTCGAGAGTGTGATTTTTGTATGTGGAAATTGGGCTGCGTTAACAGATGCTACAATGAGGCCCCTGGCAACAAAGCCATGATCCCTCCTGTCAATTCCTAAGGTACCTAAGTTGGCAGGTCCCATCCATGCTGTGCAAGGTGTTTGCAACCTGTACTGAACGCTGAAGTTTTCAATACAGGGCCGGACAAGATGTCTGCAAACAGATCTAGATGTATGTGACGGGAGCTACTTACTGTTATTACACAAGCATGAGAGAATACACCGGCCAATGAGGCGGTTGTATATTCTGAAATACTTACTGTATCTAGGTAGGTCCCTACTTAGTATTTCCAGTTGAAACGCACAGCATCGACAGCGAGAGAAGGGGAGCAGGCCGTCTCCAGTTGGTGCATCCAGACTGTGCCAGACTGTGCCAGACTGCCTCCCTTCAACCACTGGCACCTTCAACTCACTCTTTGCTACTAGTATCTTACTCAGTCGAATTCGTAAAGGGACTTGCTACCTAACTAGTAGGTGGTAGGTTCCGTGGCGGTTGAAACCATAACAACAAAAGAATGGAGACATCCCCATTCATCAAGACCCAGTCTTCCTTGAGAGCAAAAGAGGCAAGCTGCACTCTGCACTCCCTTGAAGCTCACTTCATGGACGAGCTGGGAATCGAACCCAGGACCTTTCGCAACTACCAGATATCTCCGGAGAGAAACAGGCGATGCTAAGCGAACGCTCTACCAACTGAGCCACACGCCCTGCGGATGGAAGTGGAGTTTCACCGGGGGAGGCGATGGAGACAGCGGAGACAGGTCCGTCCTTATCAATGGAAAATTCAACGAGGAATAAGGACCCGGTTGAATCGATGGCGTAAGAATCCCTTTTAGAACGGGTTGTCCCCTATCTACCGGGTAAACAGCACCAGAACATAGACCAGTACCATACCTTACATACAAGCTATTGAAGTAGCACCAACCAAACGCCGCGGTGTCAAATGTCCCATCCAAAGTCAGACCAGACCAGACCAAAACCCAAGCCAGAAGAGCCAACCCGAAGTCCACTGGCATTTAGAGCTCTGTCACCAAAAGACGCCTGCAATGCCATGTACGGAAAGTGCAGAGAAATGAGATGGTGGTAAAGCAACCAGTACCACGGGCTTCGAAAAGATTCCCGGCAAAAGAAATGAGCCTCCATCCCACAAGGGGGGAAGGTGGAAGACAAGCAAAAGAAACGAGAAGGGAAGAAGAATAACTGCATAGCGCGCAGGGGTATAACGTCATAGTTGAAATAAACGCCGCTGGATACGGCCGGGAGGTGAACAGTGTAATTAGTATCATCCTTGCTTAGCCTTCCGGCCTCCCTTCGCCTTTCTGTTCTTGGCCACTTCGCTCCTGAGACGAGGCGGGTTTCGCCTCCCACTCGCTCTCTTCCGTCTGGTCTGCCCTTGAGAAGCAGCCGGTCCTTCACCTTCCCCTGTTCCCGCGACGGATATGGCTGGCACGGAAGACGGGCCCGGCACGGACGAAGACGCGGCGGCCGAAGAGATATTCTGTTCTTGGCCTTGCTGCTTAGATGAGGCAGTCTTCGGCCTCCCACTAGTTCTTTTCTTTTTGGTCAGCCCCTGAGAAGCACCCGACCCTTCCGCTTGCCCCGGGACCGTGCCAGGAGGGCCTGGCACGGAAGAAGACGCGGTCGCCGAAGAGATATTTTGTTCTTGGTCTGGTTCCTTGGACGAGGCGGGCTTTCGCCTGCCACTGGCTCTCTTCTTTTTGGTCTGCCCCTGAGAAGCACCCAACCCTTCTTCCCCTCTCCCTGCGGCCGCAGCAGACGCGGCTGGCATGGAAGAAGACCCAGCAGCCGAAGAGATATTCATAAGCGGCGACGACATTGGTGGCCTCGCCCCCGTAATGGCTCTAGCCAGTGCTATCGCTTCTTCCGCCGGTTGAGTGAACAGGGGCTTGATAGATTGACCTGGTGGCTGGGTAATCTGCACCTGTCCCACCTGTCTCAACTGGCCTTGCCCCGAGGCCGCTACATCGGTAGCCTGCGCCTGCGTCGGCAACTCGAAGGGATTATGTTGCGTCATGCTCGGGCGGCGAGTCGTGCCCATCACTGGCGTCGGTCGTGCTGCAGTGACCGGCCGGGGATGCTGTTGATGTTGTTCTTGTGTAGATCCAGTAGTGGCAGTATTCCAGGAAGATCCGACGGCCTGCTGCGTCGGAAGATGCGGACTACTAGCGGTTGTGGTGGGGACAAGGCGGCTGTGCGAATACGGATTAGATCCGGGCTTAACGGGCTGTTGGGTTGACGGCACGCTCTGAGATCGAGAGTTCTACGCTCGACCGGTCACCGATGGCCGCCGCTCCGGCGGTCCCCCGAAGCTGAAGCTGGAGGATCGCCGCGAGAAGTCGCCGCCGCCGCCAACCACCATGGCATCGGGCTCTCCCGGTGCGTCCTCAGCGTCGACGAGGCCCGGGTGCCCCTCGGGAAGCCGCTGGGCGCCGTAGCCGACGACCTTGAAGATGTTGACTCGCCCCCCGTTGGTCGCGGTCTGTAATTGTTCGTGGAGGCGGGCTAACTGATACTGACGTTTAGTCGGTGCGAACACGGGCTGCGGCACGGCCGGCTGCGGGTTCCAGCTGGCCAGGGCTGACATCACGGCAGCCGTTTCCTCGTCACTGTCGACCGTCCCTGCATTGGCATCATCGTCGTCCTCCAAGGGCGCGTTGGCGTCAATGGCAGCCTTTTGCTGCTTAGCCTGGTTCTTCTTTTGGTATGCGGCCAAGAGCATGTCGTATGGCAGGGACCGGCCAGGCACAGCGCGTTTGGCGCTCATACTGTGGCTCTTGCAGGTGAGGGACCGCGCGCAAGGCTGGCCATTAGGTAGGATCACACCGCACTGCCTCTCAACGTCCACGGGCCCCTTTGGCTTCGCGGCTTTCGGCTTGGGCTCATCCTTCTTTTTCTTGGCCTTGCCCTTGTCGAGCTCGCTTTCGGCCTTCCTCTTCTTGCCCGCGACATTCATCTTCTTTGCCTTGCCGGCCGTCTTGCCGGCGCTGCCGTCCTTCTGCTCGTCGTCGTCGTCACTGTCGCCGTCGCCCCGAGCGGTACCGTCCCCTTCTGCCTTGCGTGCCTCTTCTTCCCTAGCGGCTTCCTTCAACCTCTCACGCGCCTCACGCGCCTCCTTCTTGCGCTGAGCTTTCTCCTTCTTGATCCTCAGGCACTGCGCAATATGGTCCTTAGCAGCGGATCGCGTGATGCCCTTCTTACAGTGCTTGCATTGAAACATATCAGGAAGATCCTCGAGCGGGCGGCCGGTGCTGAAGGTTTCGCGGCTGGTGTCATCTAGCTGGTTGATGACGGGTCCGGGCGACGCGGCGGAAATTGCACCATCTTTGGGTTTCTTCTTCTCGTCTGCAGGGAGTTAGTTCGGCCAATTTTACGAGGATGGGAGAGGGTGGAATGCGCCGTACCTTCAACGATACTGGCGTCCTGCCAATTGCCGGCCTTGGCCTGTTTTGGCGCAGCTTTCTTGAGCTTGAGTTTGCCGAATGACTGCGGCCCGGAGGGAGTGACAGATTTTTTGGCCGAGGCGACCTTGATGGTGGCCTCCTCATCTAGAAGAGCTGGTTAGTGTTTGCGGCGCAGGAAGGAGCGCGTGTCGGAGCAGGCACACCTTTGCGCGATTCTATCGACGCCATAACGGAACAGCGATCTTGTTATCAAAAGAGTGTGTCCGTTAACAGAAACAACACCGACTATAACGAACCACAGGAGAGAACAGCTGGGGCCGACGCATAGGCGCTGCCTATCTCTACTTTAGTTGGCCTCAGTTTCGGGCGCTCGTATGGCAAGCCAACGGGTCAGCGATGAGGTGCTGTCGCGCTGGACGTGGAAGTGGAGCATGCGGAGGAAATAAGGTTATCGATAAGCGACCGGGGGCGTGCTCATTTCATGAGGGGTACAGATAATGGAAAGAGCACGGACCAAGGAGCTGGTGATCGATTGAGTGGTTGCAGGTCGAGTGGTTGCAGGTGGAAGTCTGCAGAGTCCACTCGGTGGCCGCCGCAGGGCCTACCTTAGATACCTGGTACCTTGACTACTAGCAGTTCTTGCGTTGGGCGATTACACCCGCACAATGAGGACGAACTATTCCACTAGACAGGGAGTGAAGATCGGATGCCCGGTATACGTCGTCATGACGCACCTACAGCTGCACACTCCCTTCAATAGGTACCCGAGCCCTAAAAATGGGGATTGTGGAGTAGGTGTTCTCTATCGCTTTGAAGCTATCCATAGGTACGTAGGTAGGTACGTACGAAATGCAGTGTTGCCCATCCGGTTCGCTGTAGCCCTGTTCATTGCCATTCATTACTGACCCTGTCTATCGTGCCTTAAGAAAGACCACCTAAGATACCCTTGAATCCCACCATGTGGCATCCTCATCCGTGTATTACTGCCACCCTTCCAGAATGGGAACAGAACGTCGATGCCCAGCCTCCCATTGTCTGCCAACGTTATGCGGTGGCGAGACCAAAACGTCGATAAAAATGATGCCGTAGCTACAATCAGCGTGAAGCATTTGGCATCTAACCGTCTATCAGAGATTGTCTCTGCCTTCCACGGTCTATGTGGATAGCCAGTGCTCTTATGCAACTGCTGCACATGAGAGTCGGATTAGATCCGTAGATGGTGTGTATCGTCTGCCCAACGAATACTCTTCTTGATTCATCGCTGTCGACAGTTGTTGTGGAATACCGGCCTTGTTCAAGCACTGCTGGCTAGCGCCAATACTAGTAACCGCCGCCGTAGTTGCCCTGGCTCGGCACCGTCGGGTATCCTGCGTGAGGGTGCATCATCTGCTGTGCCTGAGGGTGCTGCGGATGCTGCTTTGGCCCCGCTTGGCCCGCCATCAGGTCAGCAAACCACTGGTGCGTCAAGGCCTCGGACGCCGAAATGCGAAGCTCCGGCCGGAGCTGCAACATGCGCTGAAGCAGGTCGATGCCGAGGGGGTCGATCTGGGGCAGGATGCTGCTGAGCGGCTGCGTGGCATACATTTGCCACGTCGTCTTGTACTCGGGGAACTGCGATAATCCCGGCCACGTCCTCTCGGTCGGGGTGCCCATGATGCGGAAGATGCGGATGATCTGGTCCTCATTGGTCGTACCAGGGAACAGAGGTCTTCCGGAGAACATCTCGGCCATGATGCAGCCCGCCGACCAGATGTCGATGCTCGTGTTGTAAGTCCGACTACCGAGCAGAACGTCCGGGGCCCGGTACCAGAGTGTCACGACCTCATTCGAGAAGGTATTGACAGGAATGCCAAATGCCCTGGCAAGACCGAAATCTCCCAGCTTGAGCTGGCCCTTGCTGTTGATCAATAGGTTCTGCGGCTTCAAGTCTCGGTGGAGCACGCGGTTCCTATGGCAGAAATCGATCCCTTTGAGCAGCTGGTACATGAATGATTTGATAACCGGGGGCTTCAGCGCGCCCCTGTCGCCTTGTGTGTCCATATACTTCTTTAGATCGCCGTCCATGTACTCAAAGACAAGCATCAGCTTGTTTTCGGTGTGAATAACATCATGAAGCGCGACAATGTTCTCATGCTTGAGCTCTTTCATAAGTGAAATCTCTCGAATCGCCGTACTAGGAGTGCCCTCCTCTGAGTCCAGATGGATCTCCTTGAGAGCCACCAGCTCGCCTGTCTGACGGTTGCGGCCTTTGAAGACCTTGGCGGAGAGTTAGTAAAGGGTGAGCGA